CATTAGAAGCACGTCACGATAAATTCCTTATGACATTACTTCTTCAGCAGGACTACCTGGAGACAGCTGTTCTGGTCAAACATCACATATACGTATTTTTAAAACTTACCCTGTATCCTCCCAGGAAGAGGGGTTAAAAGGATAGAAAGAAAAGAAAACAAAGCAAATTCAACTGCTGGTATTGAGAGCGTTTATGTTCTCATCTTCGCTAGCATTGTAGGTAAGAAGCCACACCCGTGCTTATTTGCCCATTCCCTTTAACTACTGTTGAAAACACATCCCTTTGGGTTTCCACTAAATGTTTCTATGAGGGGACATCATGGGAAGGTTTGTGGGAAAATGGAAGAGAAGTGCAAGTTTATTGTGGTTCAAATATATATATATCTATTGAACTCCCTGCATAGTTTTTCATAACAGTCATTTTCCATGAACCTCTTGAAGACTTTTCATAATGTTTCTATGAAAGAAAAATAACACAAGATTCTAGGTTTTTGAGAAGACGAGATCTTTTCCAAACTGTCAGGGGAATACGGTTCCAGGATCATTTCCAGTCATTGAAACGGGATCTTAACAACTGGATGACACGTGCTTCAGAACGCCACGTGGTGAGAGCGCTGCAGAGAACACACGATCTGGAGGGAAGGAAAACGGCTCGACCTTCTCCTACTGCTCTCTCTGCTCAGAACCTGCACTCAGAACCCTGTATCAACGACCAGTGCAAACCCCAAACTGGAACTTTAAAACTCAAGCTTTTGCATCCAAACAAAGGCTTCCTTCCCTACCAGGCCCTCCTGATCACCAAGCCCCAGCCTGTAAGTGCTTAACCAATAGAGTTCCAGATGTTAACGACTGTAAATCCCTAGGGCCTGGGATGAGATGGCGGTGCAACAGCAATGTGCCGTTCTACGAGGCTAACCTACACGGGCAGGCCCCTGGGCCCACAGCCTGAGTCCTCGCCGTCCATGCAGGGCTGAAGTCGGGGTAGATCATGCTGTGTATAACCTGTTGCAGGTGCCTCTCCTAATTGCTTTCTCTCTTTCTTTCCCATGGAAAAAATATAAAAAATTACAGGCCAAGACAACAACATCTGCCCCACTGCACTACAAATCGTCTACGGTGTGAAAGTTCAGGAACATCTACTTTTTTCACCCAGAGGCTCAAGCATTCTGGTAACAAGGAACCCAACCACAGGCGGTTGGCACGGTGTTGGCCATGGCAGCTCCTTCTTGCCAACCTCCTGGGTTTCTCCTTCACCCAGGCCTGCCTCTCTTCCTGTGGACAGACCCACAGTAAGAGCGTCCCGATACCTTCGTGAAGTTCCAGCGCTGGATGAAGTGGCGTGCCACGTCGCGGGCCGCTTTCCCGTGCACTGCGGAGGCAATGTCGTGCCAGGGCATCCGGGGCGTGGAGTACCTGTCGATGAAATCTGCCCGGGCACCAGGCAAGATCAGTGGTGAGCTCCTGGTAGGGACAGAGGTCCTCAGACCACGACTGCGACATGTCAGAGAAAACGTGCTAAATGCTCACTATGTATATTTCTTGGCTTGAGACAATGGTTGTCTTTTTTTGAGAGAGATTTTTGCTATAGGGTGCACGCACTCGTCAGAGAGACAGAGCGAGAAAGCAAGAAATCACCCCTGGGGGGAGAGCCACACCACAATCCCTTCTCCTCTGTTCTCCTCCTGGGATTTGGGGCACGCACGCACACTCGTCTGCACACATTCATGCCTGGCGCAAATTTTAAGCTGCCAGGTCTGGGACTCGAACTGCGGCCAACTATATGGGAGTTCAGCAACATAACTATTACGCCATCTGCTGGTCCAGAGCACATCGTTATACTCAAGGGAAACATAGATCAAAGATCTGGTGTGGAGGAAGAGTCACCCACAGATCTCCCTCAGTTATGTTTCCATTTCATTCAGGCTTAGACCATCACTAGACCAGGCAATACCCAAGCTGCTACGAGTTATCTGAGGCTGCATCCTCGATGTTAATTGTTTCTTTCCCATCCTGTTGAATATGGCAGGCCATGGCTGCAGTGCCACCTGCCCCCCTCTTAGACACACAAGCACAGCCACAACCTGAAATCTCGCCACTCTAATGTACAAAACAGAGACAGGAAGGAGCAGCGAGAGAGTCAAAAGTGGGCCATGATCTTTCGGAGACTTGCAGATTACTGTGATCAGCCTAGGGGAACGCTAGAGCTTTCAGACAGGCCGTTTCTCTCATGCACTTTTACTGAACTAGAAAAAAAAAAGTTGGCCTACTCAGTGAAAATTAGGTTTTAAATAAACGTATTTTATCTGAACAATAAAAAAATAGGAAAAGTCCTTAAGTATCTTACTGAATGATGTCTCCAAGTTTTACCAAATTTTCAAAACTGAACAAACAAACACAAAGGCATTATGTCATACACATGTACACTTGCTGACCTGCTCAAAGTAAGAGAAAAAACATCTCACCAGCTCCCCACGACGATGATACTCACCAGCGAAAGGTTTATCAAGCTGAACCCAGTCTTTGAAGACAAAATTGCAGTAGTCCTTCCCATGCCAGAACCTGGTTTCCCCGTGCAGCTCCCCTACGCCGGTCTGTAAACTGCGGATGGAGCCGGAGTCTGTGAACGTAGCAAGACCTTCTCAGAGACTGCGGTCGGGGGGCTCAACTCTCCCTAATGAACGCCTGAAAACCTCTTAGCTGTGCTTTGTAGGCCTCACGACTCGGGCAACGTGTATTCTTTTTATTAGAGGCTGTGGGCTGATAAGGGATTCATGGCTCTCATAAACTTATTTTATTTAAGGATTTTTTTCCCTTGACACAGGGTGCCTGCACTTGCTGGAGAGACAGAGAGGGAAAGTGAGGTATCACCCTCTGGCGGGATGGTCACGCAGCAATCCCTTCTCCTCCATTCCCTCCTTGGGAATGTGGGCAAGCACGCAAATGTGCCCAGTGTGATTTGCAAGCTGCCAGGCCAGGGACTCAAACCACAGCTGACCATGTAGGAGTCCAGCACCTTAACTACCATGCCAAACGCTAGTCCCTCTCATTAGTTTATGTTAAGAGAGCAACCGGGGCTTCGACTGGGTTTATCAGTAGACGACGAATCAGGTGGTTGAGCGCTTACTCTCACCACCCAGCACATCACTGGGTAACTCCGAATGAGGGACTTCGGAGGCGGCACCGAGAAAGCAGAACATCGGGGAGAGCAGAGAGACAGGAGTCGCAGAGGCATAAAGGATTCACTCCTCTTTCTTCAGCCAACATGGTGCACACCGAATGCAAAAATCTTGTCTTCAGCACCTCAAAAAGCAAGTATCTCAAATTTCAGAAGCCCATGTGCCAGCTCTGGAGTTAACTAGCTGAGTGACACTTGGCTCCACCTTTTTGGGTCAGAAATACCTTGTGCGTAAAAGGAAGAATTCAGTCTAGATAACAGCTAAGATTTTTTTTTTTTTGCTCTAATAGTCTATATTCTTAAAATTATAAACATTACTTGTAAAAAAACAATAGAAGCTTATGATGCAGATGTGAAGGCAGCAAACGATGATAGCATTTTACCAAGAGCTTTGCTGAGGCCATTTACGTAAAGGTAAAACTTCAAGTTAAATAGTTTAAGTTTGTGAGCTATGTTGACCATGAAGACAATGAAGCAGAAGACTCGCACAGCTACGCGCCAATCACAATGACAGCACTTGGCACAACGAAGCACTGAACAGACAGACAGCAGATCCGGAAGTATCCAGGGAATGGGTACATGGCGCTGCCTGAGGAGCCAGTGAGAGCGTGGGGCTGGCCCAGAACTGGCTTGGAAAAGGCAAACGTGTCGCTCCAAAGTCTTCTAGGATCACCCACTGCCTACAGGAAGTTCAAGTTCTAAGGGCTGAGTGTGCACAGAGGGTCTTCCCCGACTGCTAACAGCGGATCTTTCTGTCCCTTATTTTCCCCTATCCAACCCCAGGCCTCGTGCACACATTTTATTTTCACTGTCTTGGGCGGGAGGTCTACCATGCCTCCTGACACTGGCTTCTCATCCCTTCTGTGTGGGGTGTTCCTCTCTCCTGGCCTGATCTCCTAGTCACCACTTGAGAGCCACATTAGCCGTCACCTGACCCAGAGGGACATCGGAGGGCCCTGTAGAGGAAACAGTCAGCAGGACTGCTCTCTTCCTGTTCGCAGCTGCGCACCCCGATGCCTCTGATCGGCAGGTTGCATCGGATGGCTCCCTGCCCCCACGTGTCCACACACACACACACACACACACACCGACCCTGCCCCTGCCCATGTGGCTCCTGGCATCCAGCTGACTCTCGGTAAATATTTGCTGAACAAATGTTATTGTGTAGTCACCACACACAGTGCTAATAGCCTATCTCATTATTATTAAGTAATGATTAACCTTTCAAGGGTTATTGAAATTTTCCATAAAAGAAAGATACCTTCGAGTGCCAGAGATGAGCAAAACTAAATAATGCTGAAAGGAAATTTCGGTCGGCTTCTCCTAGGGATTTACTTTCCTGCTGTAGCAGGCCAGAAGGCCACCGTACTCGCAGGTCTGTTTGCTGACCTGTAGGCGCTCTACAATAAGCATCACACTGTGTTGAGAGAGAAGGATGGCATGGAGAGAGGTAAATAACGGGTCAAATTCCAAATGAAAAGATACCGGGTCATTGGGAAAGTCACGAGGCACATTCACATAGAAAAATTCCCCACAACTTTCCGGCGACCCAATACACATACGTCTATGTCTGCAAGTGTGTGTGTGTGTGTGTGTGTGTGTGTGTGTGTGTGTCTGTACATATATGTGTGTGTCTATACAGATACATATGTGTCTATACATATATGTGTGTCTGTACATATACATATATATGTGCATACACACATGTGTGTGCATATACACACATATGTGTGTGCACATACATATATGTGTGTGCGTGTCTGTACATATACAGGTGTGTACATATACATGTGTGTGTACATATACATGATATATATGTGTGTGTGTCTATACATATACATGTGTGTGTGTCTGTACATATACATATAGGTGTGTACATATACATATATGCATGTCTGCACATATACATACATGTGTCTATACATATACATATGTGTGTGTCTATACATATACATATATATGTGTGTGTGTCTATACATATACATGTGTGTGTCTGTACATATACATATAGGTGTGTACATATACATATATGCATGTCTGCACATATACATACATGTGTCTATACATATACATATGTGTGTGTCTATACATATACATATGTGTGTCTGTACATATACATATATATGTGTGTGCCTATACATATACATATGTGTGTCTGTACATATACATATATGTGTGTACATATACATATATGTGTGTCTGTACATATATATACATGTGTCTATGCATATACATGTGTCTGCACATATACATATGTGTGTCTATACATATACATATGTGTGTATACACATACATATATGTGTGTGTCTATACATATACATACATATGTGTGTGTGTATATATACATATATATATACACATATATATATGTGTATATATATATATAATTTGCTTTTAAACAAATGAGAAACCCTATGCTAAAGCTTTACTTAGACACATGCACTGACTGAAAACCACTTCCAGTGGGCCAGCCTTGTAGCTCAATGGCTTAGGAAGCCAGATCCCACAAGGCTGACTGTGGTTTGCAGGCCAGTCCTAGCAGCTTGAAAGACACGCTGGACATGTGTGCATGTATGTTCAAGATCCTGATGGGAAGCCGGCAAGTGGCGTGGTGGTTAAGGGCACTGGACTCCCACGTGGCCAACTGCAGTTCGAGACCCGGACCTGGCGGCTTGCTTTCTCACTTTCCTTCTCTCTCTCTTTCTCACTCTGTCCTTGTTTGGCCAAGTTAAAATAAAAATAAATAATTGAATAAAGTTAAATAAACTAATTCTTTAAAAAAAAATCCTGATAAGAAAGAGGAATAGAGGAAAAGGGATTGTAGCATGACCACGCCCCCTCAGGGGAGCACTCTCTCTCTCTCTCTCTCTCTCTCTGGTGAGTATATATATATCCTCTGGCCAAGAAAATAAATAAATAAGAATTAACTTTTATCTAACATCCAGTTACATAAAGAAAACAAAGCAAACTCTTACGTCTCTGAAAATTATCTGGGCACTAATTGAATTCATCCTGTTGACAATTAAATATTGGTTGTTGTTTTTATTCGTGGCCTACACTAATCCACATCAATCAGAATCCTCCTCAAAACAAATGAACTACTGAGGCGATGGGGCCAAACACTCACACGTACCGTGAGGTCGGCTCGGAACTGCGGAGCACTGAGCTCCTTGGCATCAGAAAGGCCAATCCGAGGGGTGTCTGTTAGGTTCTCCGGGTCCCGGGTGAGCGCATAATTGCATCTGCCTGGTCTTTGCCAGAGGTCTGTTATGCCAGTATTCTGCATCTTCCTCTGCCCACGGCGCCGACTCTGGCCGCTAATTTATGCAAACGCTGTTCTGTTCTTCACCTCAGATCTGCTGGCGTTGCCGCATCATCCTTTCTTTGTCATCTCTTGGTCTCCTGGACTCTCCTCTCTCCAACCAGCCTTTCTCTATTTTCTTTGCTAGCTCCTCCCAACGTGTTCTTGTCTTCTCCAATATAGCCCCTAAATGGATGCTGTATTGGTTAACAGCTAGCCCATGACTGAGTGGTGTGCAGAGGAATGGAAGTTTCTTCAGCTCACGGTTTGAAGGTCCAAGGTTCAGGGACCAACTTCTGGCAAGGCTGGCACACAGCAGAGAGCAGAATCTTGAGCAAAGCAGCTGTCCGTGGTCTCTGCCTGCTCTGGTGCCCTTTCCCCTCTGACAGGCAGGCCAGAACTCCGTCACAAGAATCCTGCCCTCATGACCTTATCACACCCAAAGACCTCACTTGGGCACTATGAGGTTTCCACTCAGCCAGCCAAATCCCAGCACACAGACTGGAGGACAGTAGTCAATAAGACCACAGCACACCTCACTAGACCTGGCTTCACTAGGGGGCTCTCAGCCCTTCTCCACTCCTCTTACCTGTCAGGATCTGGGGCATGCGTGTACATGCACCCACTGTGTTTTTCAAGCCACTGTCTGCAACTTGAACTGTGCTGTCAGCCACATGGAATCCAGCCTCTCAACCAACAGGCTACAAGCTGGCCCTGGGCTGAGCCCAGTTATCTACTTAATATTGCTTAAAGGGTAAGATCAGCAAAATGGTTGCTGAGTATGAACACGATTTAACCTTTTTAAATAGACGGCATCAGTCAAATCCATGTAGTCCGAATTCTCCCTCTTACCACGTAATTCGGAAGGAAGAAAATTCCCGAAGATGGCTGAGTGATTGTAGATGAAATATGTACGTTCTATGCACCGGCTATGGTTACTGCCCGCACCTGAGGTGACTAGTTAGTGCTGCTTTTCCGTTAAATGGCCCACAGTAGTCCTGCATGCAGACCCCACGCTAGACTTTCCTGGTGTCTACGAGAAGCCCAATTCCACTGACCTCCTGTTGTTGTCAATATATTTACATTTAATCACTGCATATCTTTACAACATTCCGAGTAAAATTCCCCAGTATGAATACCCTGTTTGTTAGGAATCAGAGGAAGGGGGGAAGCAAAACATTTACGGGACATACAAATGGAAAATTATCCGTTTGTGATAATGTGTGCGACAATCTCTGACTGGTCCACGGGGTCTTTGGCAGTGATCTGGACACTGTCGAGAAGCCGACGCCATTCATATTCTCAGGAGAAAGAAGTCATTTACTCAGACTGATACTCAGTTGTAAATGTCGAATGAGAAGCCACTCCATGCTTAATCCGGGTTCTACGTCCCACATGCCAACATGAGGCTTCGGCCATCCCGTGATGTAAACCTGGCGGCTTTTATTAAACTTCCTTCATTACTTTTAGTAGAACCCTACTTTTTAAATTACGAAACAAATTTACAAGTTCCGATATATAAAAAGGCATGGTGGATCGCTCCGGTTGAAGCAGGTACCTACTGAAGGGAGCGGGTCCAGCAGCGACCTACGCAGTGTCCTTCACCTGCCTTTTACTCAAGACAGATGACTGTCACTTCCTATCTCGCTCGGAGCCAGAACTCTTCCAAAGGTCTGCAAGGCCTCACCTCCTCCGCCCAGGCCACCTCCTGGCCTTGGTCCTCTCGTTCTCTCCCTGCGCCCTCGACTACACCACAGCCTGGAACACACGGTCTCCCTCCCCCCTTCGTGGCCTCCACAGCTGCTATCCCTTCTGCCTGGAATGCCCTCTCCCCCAGCAGTCTCTCAGGCTGTTCCTCTCTTCCTTCTGCTGAAAACTCACCTCCAGAGAAGCGCTCTCTGCCCACGCTCTGTAAAGCTGTAACCCTCCCCACTCTGCTCTCTCTCTAGGAGCCTGCGCTGTTTTTCTCCAGGGTAATTATCATGCCCTGATACGGCGTGTTCACCATTTACATATACGACTCCCACGCTCACCCCCGACTAGCTAACTGCATTGTATCTGTTTTGTTCACTAAATCCCTAGTACCTGGGACAGTGATTGCCATGTTATAGGAGCTCAGTGAATACTTATGCAATCAGCCAAGCAAATACTCTACATTTATATTGGCATCCCCACTTTCAGTCTTAATGAGTGCCCAATTCCTTTAAAGAGATGCACCATTCATTTTGTTCTTCCCCATTCTCCTACTCCTTCATTTAGACTCTTTGTCTCTCTCTCCCTTTTTCAAGTTTACTTACTTCTTCCAGTAGAAAGAGAAACAGCGACAGTTGACCCGAATGGGGTCCCCATGCTATGACCCACCCCAAGTCTCAGCTGACCCAATCCTGGGCATGTGTGTGTGCCCAAGGTGCTCAGGGAGGTCTGGGGTGCGAGCCAAGGCCCTTTCCCTGTGGGACAAAGGGTCCACCATGGCCCCCCTTTGTCTCGTAATGAATGTTGCTGCACTAGGCACATGTCCAATTTGTCAATGGAGTGGGGGGGGGTGTGAGTGGATATCCGGGAAACTTGGCACCACCAACCAAAAACCAAACACTGCAGTGTCCTCTGGTGACCACGTGGGTATCACCCCTCCATCAGAGTGGCCTGAATTCCTCAATGCATTCAGTCTCTGACTCACATCTTTTCTGCTTGCACCCAGTCCTCCATCAGCAACGCCGACAGTCATGATCCAGACCCTCGACTTCAAGGTCTGGCATCCTCATTTTCCCACCTCATTTTTCACTTCAGTCTTAAAGCAGCAAAGTCGCACCCTGAAGTTACAAGGCACTACTTGGGCGTGTTTACACCTTTCTACCTTTAAAATCTACTGTTGCATGCACCCTAACCCAGTTTCCTGGACTTCCCAGAGGTGTGCTGAGGTTTCCCAGGACTTTGAAGCTTTGTCATGCACAGGAATTACTGGGAGTGGTTCTTGGATTCGCATATTGCACACTAAGGAGATAAAACATCTCTCATATATGTTCTCCACTTTCACATGGATGTCAATGTAGTTATGATTTATGAAGTAAAATCTAGTAACAGTCACACTGGGGTATTCGCTCATTATGCATAGTTAAAGCATAATAAAACCCCCAGAGTCTCTAGACTAAAGAATGCTGGGAACCGCCACTCAAGGTCTAGCTTAATTTTCCAGCCACCAGTGACTCACACCCAGGAATGTTAGCTGGGCTCTAACACCCTCCCTACAGTACATGAGCACACCGGCCTTGGGATTCTGGCCAAATGGTTATGACGGAGCAATCTGCACTTCTCCCACATCACAAATACCGATCAGGAGCACTGGGAGGCCGAGGAGCTGAGACTTCACTGGGCAAATCACTTATCGTCGCTAACCCTGAGTTTCCTCATCGGTAAAAAGGGGATAAAAATACTGTACTATCAAGTACTGCAAGTACACTCCAGGGACCGACAGTCTCCACACAATAAGGGCTGTTCTTTATAATGATTACTGGTTCTTGTAGCTGATGGGTTACCAAATCCTTCTTCATTCCTGCCACAGAGTTGAGGCCCTGGTTAATTCCCCCCCACCCCATCCGGTTCTCCTTCACCTTCTCCTCTTTTCTTGTTCTCTTTCTTTTCTCCTTCTCCTTCTTCTCCTTTCTTCTTCTCCTTCTTCTCTTCTCCTCCTTCTTCTCCTCCTCTTCTTTTCTTTTTCTGACTTTTTTCTCCTCCTCCTTCTTTTCAATTAAGAATTACTCATTTAAGTTAACTTATTATTATTATTTTTAAATTTACTATAGGGCACATGCACTCACCAGAGAGCAACAGAGAGAGATGAGGGGTTGAGAAAGCAAGCCACCAGGTCCAGGATTCAGACTGTGGTCAACCATGTGGGCGTCCAGTGCCTTAACCACCGCACCACCTGCTCCTGCTAGCCTCTCTGGTTCTTCTTACAAAAAATTTAACAGATTACACTTTCTGCAAATTCGGATTTAGAGCATGACAACTTTATTCAAAGGCCTTCAAATATTTTAACCAAATAAAATTCCAACTCCCCAATATGACTGTCTGACACCAGAAACTACGCCTTCGTCAAATGCGGTATTTCCTGAAATGTGGTGCCACTTGCTGTCTTCCCATTCCAGCAGCCCTGCTTGCCCTGTTTCCTCACCTATGCTGTCCTCTTCAGCCTACCCCGGTCAAATTACTTCCTGACCTAACTCAAGCATCCTCTCCTCACAAAGCCGTTCTGAATCATCACAGGAAGTCGTCCCACCTACCACACAAGGTCAACAACACTACGGATCTGCACGTCGTGCGTGGTAGCGTTCATCGGCATACGGTATCCTCCCTGCTGGACTGTAGGGTCTTAGGAATAGGGGGATCCTATACACACCCCATGCTTTGCACAGAACAGGCGCTCAATAATACACGTGGCATGAAAACCGTGCAAACAGGAAGCCAACTGGAAACACACAGCAGACGATGCAGCCAAAGCTGAAGCCTCGGGGAATTCTGTCACCTCACGGATCACTTACCAACTTTAGGCCTAGTGAATCCCTGCTCGGACTCACTGGAAGGGCGGAATAGTTTGAAGTGGGGTTTTAAACCATGGATTAAATTCTGATGACTTCTATAGTGATTACAATAACCTGGAGAAAGTGGAGAGGCCTTTTTTTACAAAGATAGGACAGACAGATATTTATATATCGAGTTTTCTAAACTGGAAAGCAAGTTCAGTCATTTTAAAAACGAGAGACAGGGCTATCAAATCAGTCCTAAGAGTCTGTGCCACAGAGAATCACAGGGCCTTAAAACGGGCCTGAAAATGGATGGGACAGAAGTCCAATGTTTGATGACGCACGCTTAATGTCTTTCTGGATGGGAAGAGAAATGAGACTTCCTCTAAGGAAAGTTTATCAAGGACATCTAGTACCTGTCTGCTTTCTTTATAGCTTAGTATGTTTTAGAAACCCTTAGTCGTCCTGCTATCATCAGAAGCAGGATCTGTGCTTGTTAGGACTCTGGTATGAATGCAACCTTCGATTTGTTCTAAACGGAAGCAAACAAAGCCAAGGGATGACATGATATTGAACAGGATGATATAGTGACCTTGGAGATGGCGTGCTTTACTCCGTGATGGAAGGACAGTTTGTAAATCAGGACTACGGAGCCTGGCTGTGGAGGGACAGGGGTGGTCAAGGAACACCGTGGCAAAGACCGAGACTCACTGGAGGCACTGTCGATGCTGCTAACGCTGTCCGCCTCCTGCAGCTGGTGCCTGTAGAGCTGCCTGTACAGGCTGAACTTGGCGAACTTTCTCGACTTTCCTCTGCCTTTCAGTTTTGAATCCATATCATCACCGCTTTTCAGAATGGGCAGATTTTTATCAGATTTGTTTTTATCTTTGAGGCTTAAGGATTCCATAGAATCTGTTGTTGCAGCCTGTAAGAGTTACAAACAAGAAAAGAAGACATGGTATAAAACATGCTACCGTGTGGTCCTGGAATTCAAGTAGAGAGAACTTGTGGAGTTTACAAGTGTTGGGGGCCAGCAGGTGGCATGGTGGTTAAAGTGTTGGACTCTCATGTGGCTGACCATGGTTCAAGTCTCAGACCTGGTGGTTTGCTTTCTCACTTTCTCTCTCTCTGTGTGTGTCTCTGTCTGTGTCTCTCAATAGTGAACATATGTGCCCTACAGTAAACTTTAAAAAATAATCAATAAAATAGATAATTTAAAAAAATGTTTACAAATGTTAGAATCGTCATAAGAGATACATGATGAAGCGTGAGGTCAGCCACAGGGCAGTAGTGGGTCCCTGTGAGCTGTGCAAACATTGCCAAAAGAATACCAGGAGTTCCACTGTGGCTCCTCTTCCAGGCGGCCAAGTTCTTGAAATGTCATTCCAACTGGCCTTTGTGTCTCAAATAAGACATGAGTTACATTCACTGTTGAGCTTCTGAACGCTTTCTTCTGATGAGCATCAAGTAAGCAACGCTTCTCCTATTTTAACTCATCATTTTTCAATTCATTAAATTACTACTTTCCCAGAAATATCACCAGCCTATTCAGGAAGAAATAAGATGAGAGTCTCACCATGTTTTTATAATCATATTAATATTCTGGCAACCGTTGGGTTGGAAAAACAAGCAGATGTGTATTTACAGATAGACATTTTGACAGTTCTCGATTTCAAAATTACTTTAAGAAGTTGCTTTCTGCTCAAATAGAATTTCTTCTATTATATATGACCCCAGACCGACCTATACTGTTATTGGAAGTAGAAAGATTTCAAAAACCTTGGAAGCTACTTTCAATTTTTAATGTTTATTGTGATCCAACATAAACCTCGATCCCCACCCATTTTTTAATTATGATGTCATTTTCAAATAGAAAATAAATCCTTAATTTAAATGGAAAATAAGGGAGCTGAGCATCAGACGGCACACTTTCTATTGACTCTGTTGTATCTTCTTATAGGAGAAGAACCCGAGACTAAAAGATCTAAGTTACAGCTAGCTGGGTGGTGAGGCCAGTATTGGAAACCACACCTGTGCAGTATTTGACTCCGTATTCGTCAGCCCTCCAGGAAGATGCCACCTGTCCACTCCGTCAATCAACTGCCATAAGTTACGTTAATTTGATGCAGTGCCATGCAAGTGACATCTACTTACTGTGAGAGAACCCAGAGACGGTCCCGAGGTGACCCGCTTCACGCTGCCCACGTCTGTGAGTCGGTGCTCATTGTCGTCCCACCTACCATAGGCCAGGTCAATCCCGCCCACAAAGGCCACTGATTGGTCGACGATGACGAGCTTCTCATGATGGGCCCACAGATAGACGGTGGATGACACATGATCTGGGTGCCTCATCACCTGGAGATGGAAAATGAAAACTGCATGTATATGCTTTTGAAAACTGCCTTCATGCTGTAGTAAATAGGTCTAAGGCCAGCAGACGCCAGGAAGGTTTAGGCAGCTGGATCCCACACGACTGACTACGCGGTTGGAGTTCGAAACTCTGCTTGGAAAACATACCTGGCATGGGTGCCTGTGTGCCCAAGGGGAGAATGGAGGAAAAGGGATTCTGGCGTGTCCACTCCCCGTGGGGGGTGAGTCTGCACTTTGTCTCTGTCTCTCTCTCTCTCTCTCTCTCTGGTGCGTGCAAATGTCCTATAGGAAATTTTTTCCAAAAGTCTTTTTACTCTGCAAGAAGCATTTCCTGTAACTCAAATACAAAAATGTGCTATATCTACACCAACGAGAAACCCCAAACTTCTAGTTTTAGCCTTCGAATTTGTCAGAGGAAACTCCTAGTTACTTTTTTAAGCCCCCTCACCACCTCCCACCCAGAAACCATATTTTGGGGATGGCTGCTTATTTAGTTTGAAGTCTAGCTATACATTTAGATAAGACTCAGCTCAACTTGCTAGCTGGTTCTTTTTTTTTTTTTTTCTCTCTTTTTTTCCCTAATGTTTTGCTTGGTAAATATTTAAAAACAAACAAACAACCACTCTAAAATATTGAACTAATATGTATCTCTAAAACATTTTGAAATGAATTACATTGGTGCTGTGCCAGTCATTGGGCCCAAATACTAATCCTATGGATCCTGGCACACAGACGTTGTGGTAACTCTTTCTGTAAAGGTACTTGAGAAGCTACTAACCTTCAGCTTTCAAACAGAATTCCCTACATGGCCCCAGTCTAATCCGTCCTAGTTCATATACCTTTAAGTAAAAAGATTCCAAACACTTTAACAAGTACTTTTTATTTTTCCATTGTGGTAAAATACACATAGAGTAAGTAAAATACACTATTTTAAGCATTTTAAGCTCAGAGTTCAGTAATTTAAGGGTAATCAGTGGGGGAGTCTTCTCTCCTTTGCTTCTGCTAGAAGGACTGAAGTTAGTTCCTCCTTCGATGTTTGGTAGAATTCAATGGTGACACCGTCAGGTCCAGGATGACCTTGTATTTCTGCATGAGTTAGTCCTGGTAGGTTTATGTTTCTGGGAATCTTTCTAATTCATCTAGGTTATCCAATTAGTGGGTATACAATGGTTCATATTTCTCTCTCCTAGACAACTCTCTTTTTATTTCTGTAGACTTTGGAGTCCCCACTTTCACTTCTGATTTTAGTAACTTGAGTTTTTTCTCTTTTTCACTTAGTCTATCAAGCTCAAGTTTTGTTAATTTTGTTGGTCTCTTCAAAAACAACTTATAGTTTTATTCATTTCCTGTATATTTTTTTATTATTTCATTGATTCTTCTCTTTCTTTCTTTCCTTCTGCTAGTTTTAGGTTTAATTTGCTCTACTTTTTCTAGCTCCTTAAGTTGCGACATTAAACCGAAGTTTTGAAACCTTCTTTTTAATGAAGAATTTATAATTTCCCCCCTTTGTATTGCTATGGCTGTGTCATAAGTTGTGATATGTTGTTTCATTTTCACTTGTCTCTTCATTATTTTCCATTTCCCTTGATTTCTCCTTTCATTCACTGCTTAACAGCATATTGTTTAATTTCCACCAATTGGTGAATTTTCCAGTTTTACTTCTGTTACTGATTTCTAACTTCATCTGTCATGGTAGGAGGGATGCTTGTGTGATACCTACCTTTCAAAATTTTTAAGATTTCATTTGTGACTGAGCAGATGGTCTCTCCTGGAAAACGTGCCATGAGCATTTGAGAAGAATGTGTGTTCTAATGTTGCTAGGTAGGATGCTGTGTATATGCTCAGTAGACCTGGTGGGTCTGCTGGTTCGCGTCCTGTTTCCTCACTTATCTTCTGTCTAGTTGTTCAGTCCGTTATTGAGAGTGCGATATTGATGCCTCCACCTGTTACTGTAGAACTGTCTTTACTTCCCTTCTCTTCTGTCCGTTTCTGCTTCATGTATTTTGATGGTCTGTTATTAGATGTATAAATAATTACAATTTTTATATCTTCTTGATGTCTCAAAATTTTGATTAAAATCTTTTTTTAATTTAAAGTCTATTTTGTTTTATATTAATTTAGTTATCCCTGCTCGTTTTTGGTTACTGTTGGTATAGAATATCCTTTCCCTCCTTTTATTTTTAACTATTTGTGTCTGCATTCATTGTGAGTCAGCCGTAAATAACACATAGTTGGACCAAGCTTTTTTAAAAAAAATCCATCCTACTAGTCTCTCTCTTTTGATTGGAGAGCTCAATCCATTTACAGTTAAAGTACTTAATGATAAGAAGGCGCTTACTTGGGTTATTTCACAGTTTTTCTACAAGTCTAATAGCTTTATCTGTCCCCCGTTTCCTGCATTACTGTTTTCTTTTGTGTTTGATTTTTTGTAGTGAGATGTTTAAATTCCTTTCTCATTTCCTTTTGTGTATATTTTGCAACTATTTTCTTGGTTACCATGGGGATTGCATTTCATATCCTGAAGTTGTAACACTATAATCTGAATTTCGACCAGTTTCGCTTCAGTAACAGACAAACTCTGCTCCTTTAACAGCTTCATCCTCACCCCTTTAATTGCTGATGTCACAAAACCACTTCTTTAGTATCCGCTGGATAGAAATTTGGTATGAACAATGTTTAGAGATGATACGACTCCATAACTCATTCTGTAGGGGAGAAACACTTTCACTTTTTTAACCAGTGAAATACACAATTGCTATGTATTTTAACCCTGCTGGGGAATTTATTAATTTATTACATCTCAATGTATCTCAATATTGGGTGATATTTATTAATAGGTTTTAGGTCTTTGGAAAAGTATCAAAGAACTTTTTCAAATTGCTTTTCATGTTTACTTACTGCATTATTTAAAAATACAGTTCAGTTCCTAAGAGGAGATTTCTTGCTGCTCTCAGTGATCTGAGGATATCACAGGAAGATAACATTCAAGATGTTCCAAGATAATATTAATGGGAAGTGCGAGACCCTGACTGGGCCCTTACATGTTAAAAACAACTGTAAGAACGTGTTCTTGGCTAAACTGTCACTTCCAATAAGCAGGATGAAAGGTCTGCTGATCCCAGTCAAGGTAGGGAATACAAGAAAGGATAGTATTCTGCTGTATTTCCAACACTACTTATTCAAAACATGCATTTAGGGAATTAAATAGATTACCACTGCCCAGGGCAAAACATGGCTGAAAAAGTCCTACAGAATCATAGAGAAGAAACGACAGCCCCAAATGAATCTGGATACCTTTATGTTCGGGTGTAGACGCATTAGAGTCCTCTTGCTATATTCACTATTGATTCCAAGGGCAAGCTCCACCTCTTTGTAGAGCATTATGAAAATTCTCACCCCCTGTTGCTGTCACAAGAGAAAACACAAGGAAACATAAGTATCTGTAGAGGGAGCAGCTCTAAAAAACGTTTTAAAACATATTGCGCATGTGTTAAATTTTGCGTCTTTGTTACACCTGGGCATTTAATATCCTAGAGACAAAGTGCAATTCCTTTCTATAATACTTTCTAGAGTGTTACAGATGCAGGTGTATCTAATAAACTACAGCGACAAAGAATAATTTAGGCATAGTTTATGTTACAAAATCTGTGGTAATTAGTTATTGTTATAATGGAATTTCTTTTTCTTTTATTTAGGTTTTTGCCATATGGTCCATGCACTTGCCAGAGAGAGACAGAGAAGGAAAGTGAAAAATGACTCCCAGAGGAGATGACCACGCCTCAATCCCCTCTTCCCCATTCTTCTCTTGGGATTTTGGGCCAGGATGCACATGCACCTGACATGATTTTGAAGTCACTGGGTCCAGGACTCAAACCTCAGTCGGTCACCTGGGAGTCCAAGACCTTAACCACTGCAACACCTGCTGGCCCCAGCATGGAAATTTAATAAAAAATTTAAGCCATCTTGCTGGTTGAACCCCTCTGATTCATAAGAACTAAGTACTGCCATGCTATACAATGTAAAATAACATAGTAATTACTATTTGGGGGTTATAGGTTATGGGTTATTAAATCTTGGAGAAAATAAAACACCCACAGTTCTCCAGTATTGGTTGGCAAATATTAAGAAATATGTTGTGTCCCCTAATTTTCTTTTAATAACACACCACTTCAGAATATTAATGCTCTGTCTTCCTTGGCGTTCATAATATCTGACGAGCACACACATGTTGGAGGGGCATGCTAGATTTACATTTTGGTTAGCATTCAGCAGAGTTGAGTGCCCATTCTGGCTTTGAAAAAAACAGGTCAAAAAGAATATATGTGTTATTCTAGTTCTCTGGCTAACAGGTGGCTTTGGAACTCATTATCATTATACAGCCACTATTATAATCAGGTATGCAAGTAAAAACTTGAGTTAAGAAATAAGGAAATGCATATGTGGGTAGAAGTGAACAGATTTATTTCTAATGGCCAGGAAGTACTCTGCAGTGGACCACTGACTGAGGACTCCACAGGAAAACTAGGAGATTATTTTATTCTTCTCTTCTACTGCCCAGTTCTATTTTGCTATTTGAATATTTTAGAATTCAGCACTGAATACTACTCACAGAAAAATAGCCTCCCATTAAAAGATATAACACAAAGCTTAAAAACTCAAAATTTCAGCCTAAATTATAGAACATTACTCCTGAAGACTTTCATCATGGCTCATTTGTTTTAAATACATAAATGTCTGCTTCTTAGGCAGAATAATGAAGGCGTTACTCATGAAGGGCAGTAGTTGCAGATTAGGAACTTGGCCTGAATCCTACACTTTTCCATTTCCCTGCATTACTAATAGATTTTTTTTTTTGAGAGATTTTTTTCGCTATAGGGTGCCTGCACTCACCAGACAGACAGAGAGAGACATAGAGACAGAAAGTGAGAAATCACCCCCCAGGGGGGATGGTCACACCGCAATCCCTTCTCCTCCATTCTCCTCTCAGGATCTTGGGTACGCACACACATGTGCCCTGCGTGAGTTTCAAGCCACCGGGTCTGAGACGCGAACCGCGGTCGACTACGTGGGAGTCCAGCGACATAGTCATTACGCTAACTGCTGGTTCCCATGGATTTTTGAAATAATAGAGATGTTAACACCAAGAGGTTACATTATTACCTTCCGCTTATTAATAGCTGACATTTTCTTCTATGACTTTTCTATTGAAATAAATTAATTCTAGAAGAAGTAGGGTAGAGTCTTTAAATCTTTTTTCAGTTTAAAAAACAAGTGAGTAGGGGCCAGCGGATGGTGTAATGGTTATGTTGCTGGACTTCCACATAGTCGACTGCGGTTCGAGTCCTGGTACCAGTGGCTTAAAACTTACGCTGAGTGTGTGTGCATGCATGCCCAAATCCCAAGAGGAGACTGGAGAAGGAATTGTGGTGTGGCCATGCCCTCTGGGGGGTGATTTCTTGCTTTCTGTTTCTCTCTGTCTTTCTGGCAAGCACACATGCCCTATAGCAAAAACCTCTCAAAAAAAAATTTAAAAAGTGAATAAGGAAGTGATTAAATCAAAAAAGGTAATTTCTTAGATGGTTTACAATTATTTACTTATGCTTACAGCCACAATAAACAGTTAATTAGTGACAAGATTTCTATCATAATAAGTAACAAATTCTTCTTCTTTTGGTAGTATAACACTATACTAAATTCTAAAAAATAAAGAGCAAAGGGAAATCATTCCTTAGAAATGAAAGCATTTGCTGGGTTGTACTACTGAAGGCTTTTACAAGAGGTAGGAAATATTTCTGCAAACTGAAAGCCAAGTTTTTGTTTTAAAAGAACTGATGTTAATTCTATAATTTAAAACACACTTTGGAAACATCTTATTTTTTACTAATATCTTTTAGTGACCATTGGGGAACTTAATTTTTGCTTAGAAAACGGAAGGAAAATGTTTATAAGAGAAGTAGAAAAACATATAACCTGGAATAGACCACACCATGCCATTCTTATCTCTGAATTCAACTGACCCAAAGGGCACAGAGAATGAACTTCATAAAATTTGAGTATTGAAAGATGAAAATGAAGTCCTCTTTTTAAATTAGTTTCTCATCAGGTAGAACAAACACAATGAACAGAAAACTTTAGAAGCTTTAGATATACAAATCCATGTAAGACAATGAAGAATAAAACCAATGTTAGTGGAAATGAGAGACTTTGTATCTTAGTAAGCTTTTTCCCCTGAGTGTTCAAAATAGTGTGGTCAAATTATCAGTATGTTCCAAGTGCATTCAAACTGGCTGAAGATGGCTTAGCTTAACCCTCCAAACTCCAGGAGAATTGCTCAATTTTATCACTTGCCAAGGACCCCAAGTGCCAGGAGGTGCAATATATTGGGAAAATGAAAAGTAAAAGACAGAAAGAAAGCACACCCTTACCATCAAAAGCAGGCAGCTTGGGGATTTAAGAACGCGAATGCTCATGTGCCTTTCTTCCTTGTTTCCCTCTTTTTCTCTCTCTCTTTTTTTTTTTCTCTATTTTCTAGAAAGTCCAGACCCAAAGATTGAACGCCCCTTCTGCTCTCTCCCACAAGGCATTCTAGGCCACCGCTTTGATACGATTCTGCTTGGTTTTCTGCATGGAGATGGATCATTCATCTCGTTTCGCAGACATGGACATCTTTCCCTCTAAGTGGTCATTGACCCTACAACTCTAGAATGTGCCTTTTGGTCCAAAACAGAAAACAAACAAACAAACAAACAAACAAACAAACAAACAAAAACTTTAAGACAAACTCTCTTTGAGGATCTAAACCTTCTTCGGGGTGTCCAGGCTACTACAATGAAGGCTTCTTTAGTATGAGTTTCATAAGAGATACCACATATTTCCAAATGTGTGATAGACACAGTCGGGGGGAAGAGGAGGCCTACAGGTACGATAACTATGACGCAAATATCTCACTTCTTAGTGTAGTAAATGCGGAACCACCAAAAGCCTTGGGATATTGCAGTTTTGAGTTGTAAACAATCTGCCTCTGAAGACTGACTTAGAAAATTGCAAATGATGGCATTGCAGATGGCCAAAGAGACAGGAAAATTACCAGAGAAACAACATACTAATTTTTTCCTAAGAAACAGCCATTATGCCTATATATCGGCTATGAGGCAAAGATACTTCCTAAATTTCTCTTAAAAAGTCTGTACAATAACAAAAAAAAAATTCATTTTAATCAATCTTATAGATTCTTAATGCAAAAATAAATATGTTTTGACCCCACACTTGGCAAAGCTAGTATGTGGCTTTCAGAAACTCAATTATTTATTTGAAGCAGTGTTGATATGCATATGAAATGTCCAATTGGAACGATGTGAGTGTTTAAAAATTTATGACCCAACTAATGATACTGCGTAGTGAGATTAAGGAAGAGCAATTCCCCTAAGTGTACTGCTGAGAAATTAATCTTTAATAGTACGACTGTTTCCTTAAAAATTTTAGAAAAGCATTGTCGCAATTTAAAAATCACGCTCTTTAGGAAGTGAGCGAACCACTGTCAGGCCATAATATTTCCTTGGCCATGGCATCCATCAGGGACCTCGCTAGGGTTCACGGCCATAAGAGCAAAGAGAAGCCACGCTAGTGACAGAAAAGGCCCCTGGGTAGGTACAGGGAGGACGACAAAACACGCCACCTAACGAGAGGTGGCCCAGGCCTGCACAGGCGTTTGCTAGCTTTTTAGTTTATGTCGATGGCCTGAGGCCACCTCACACTCATGTGATCTGAACTTAACTTTTCAAATCCAAGTTCTTCCCACTTTCTCCCACTACCGGAGTCGCCTTCCCACCACACCATTTTGATAAGATCTCCCCTTCCCCAACACTCTTCACGCTACATCCCCCTGCCTGCCAGAAGTCCAGACTGCTGGCTTGGCTCGCAAAGCCCCCAGGGCTAGTAGCAACCTGCCCTGCCAGCTCGACCCCCATTCTTCTTTGCTGATACTCAGGTGTAACCAACCATGTCTCCCTACCATGATGGACAAAGCCTCCAATACTGTTTCTTCATAACATTTATTACACTCTGAAGTTCCTTCCTTTCCCTTTAAAAATGTGCACCCACACAAAAGGTCTTGCAGTCCTATGTTGGGAGGAGGTCCCCAGCCAGGATAACCTTTTGACTTTGAGTTGTGTCCAGCTGACAGTGGGGGATATTTTAAGCTCCTTCAGCTCAAGAAATCATGACTTTTTAAACTGGATGTCCATATGACTGGCTAAGTGACCTGCACATAGTAGGCATTCAACAAGCGCATGGTTGCAACCTACAACCTAAACCTCTGAAATACTATGAGGAAGATTCCTAGGGAAAACTCACAAAAACAGAATCTTGGGGGATATGGAAAGGTGCCATTTCACAGAGAGAAACATGGGGAAAAGTTACAGCACATCCCGCAGGTAGAAAGAAGTTTGACAAGGCGAGGACTGAGCCCAGGACCTGCGTCCGTCACTAAGCTCTCCATGGACAGCCTGGAAACCTACTGACTGTGGCATCCTTTGTGAATAGGGCAGTACCCTGCTCATGGGAGACATACCGTAACGTGCGTGCTGAGTCACTGAATGGGAGACATGCCATGACGTGTGTGCTGACTCATTGAATGGATAATCATTCTCAGGACCAGAATTTCCAATCTGGTGACTGGAATACTGTTGATTCAACAAATTAGACTATCTATCAAAATGATGCCATTCGGCAGTAATGTGTATTTGAATAAAGGTTATCAACTTCTTTTGATCTCGGTATTAATAAGGTCTTACTGAACCCATGGATATCCCCTGAAATCCTAAAATAAAGGCATAAGGAGGAGGGGCAGCAGATGTCATGGAGGTTGAGGTGACTAGATGCCACATGGACAAAGTGGTTCAAATCCTGGGTATGGCAGCTTGAAAATCACCCCAGGCGCTTGTGTGTGCATGCCCGAAATCCTGAGAGGAGAATGGAGAAGGGGGGGGGGGTGATTTCTCACTTTTTCTCTCTCTGTCTCTCTCCATCTATAGTGAGCATATATGCCCTATGGCAAAAAAGAAAAAAAAGAAAAAGAAGAGAAAGAAAAAAGGAATGTGAATGGGGTGTGGATAGTGGAATGTAGACGACAGGAAATAAGAAGTGAGTGAAGGCAGAGAAAAGAGTACTACTCCCAGTTCTTTAGGGTCTGGGAAACTTGCTAGAGTCTTTAATGATAGGACAGTTAAAAGGGTGAGAGTTTCAGATAATAGTGAAAAGTTGGCACTCCCTAATGTGGACATGATAAAAATAAATCTAGATCTATTCTAATTGAAGTTTTACTCTTTTAAAGGCCTATTACACATTTAAAAACCATTAGCAATACAAGCATAGTCATTGGTGAACCTATACTGCTTCAGTATTTACTTTTTGTAACAAGAGCACCTGCAAAACTCACCCAGAATCTACAGAACCTCACAGGAAATAGTTTCACATCATTTCCATGGACTTCCATAAACCTGGGACCAAAACGCTACCAGTTCTTACTGTCCTCCTCTTTGATATTCCGCCACATCAGCGTGGGCCCTTCTGAATGAACCATCCCCATGATGACATCGTCTTTTGCATAAACGGCAAGATAGTAAGTACAATGGACATGCTACATTCCATTTGACGTTTTTCACTGATGAAGTTTCATTACAGTTATCTTGTCTATCATGTTAATGGTCCATAACTGATTAAAAAACAAAAATTAGGGATGCTAGCATAAGCCATGTGGTGAATTAGGCCAAAATACTTAGGCACTCAAAAATAATACACGAAAAATAGGACTAAATGAACCAGAAAACACTAGCTATCACATGTTTTTCAAACTTTAAAGTACAAAGTTATAAGTATGCTTTTTTTTTTTTAGAGGTTTTTGTTATAGGGTGTGTGTGCTTGCCAGAAAGAGAGACAGAGACAGAGAGACAGAATGCGAGAAATCACCCCCAGGGGGGATGGCCATGTCGCAATCCCTTCTCCTCCATTCTCCTCTCGGGATCATGGGCGCACACACACACATATATACATGCTTGGTGTGAGTTTAAGCCACCGGGTCTGGAACTCAAACCACGGTTGACTACATGGGAATTCAGTGACATAGCCGTTATGCTAACTGGTCCCTAAGTTATAAGTATGGTTGAAAAAGAAAAGGCACTTTAGAGGCAATAGATATTTAAAATTTGTATCAGCCTTTGTTGGGGAAGTACGTACTGCTTTTCGTTTAAGAATGCAGTCCAACCTCCAACGATTTCCTTCAACCACCGGGCGTTTCAGGAAGATTTCTGGACTCAACCTGAAATCACAAAACCAAGATTTAAAGTAACTAAAATAGAATATAAAGTTCTGATTGTGTTCTAGGCACAGGACCCCACATGGCCAACAGCACGATTCAAATCCCAGACCCAGAGGTTTGAAAAACATGCCATGTGTGTGCATGCCCAAAATCCTGAGAAGAGAATTGAAGGAAAAGGGATTGTGGTATGGCCATCCCTCCTGGGGGGGGGGGTGATGTCTCACTTTCTTTCTCAGTCTCTCTGATTCATGTGCTCTATGGCAAAAGAGAAAGAGAGAGAGAGAGACCTTCTGCAGTGACATGAAAAAATCTTCTGCTCTACCTGGGAAAATGAAGAAACATAGTACTGTATTTTCTCACATACCTTATCTACTACTCTAGCTCAACAATTCCCCATCAGAAAAGCTTGGGCTCTCTACTCCCCCAACCAGGGGACATTCAGCAATCTCTGAAGGCATTTTACTGTCATAACTAAAGAACTTGCTCTGGCACTGAGTGGAGAAGTGAGGGATGGTACAGAATACCCTCCCCCAACCAGGGGACGTTCAACAATCTCTGAAGGCATTTTGTTGTCATAACTAAAGAACTTGCTCTGGCACTGAGTGGAGAAGTGAGGGATGGTGCAAAACCCCTGCAGTGTACTGAACAGTGCCCCACACCCAAGAATTATCTGGCCCAAAATACCAGTAGTGTCAGGGTTGATAAAACCTGCCATAGGGTTATAGATTTCCAGATAAATGAAGACAATGAGCAGAAGATAGGTTCACAGCCCTCTTAGTCTTTCCTGACCCCCAAATCTAGAATTAGAAGGAATAAATGACGATCACATGTTCTGTTTCTAAGGTACCATTTGGAAGGAAACGGAAGAAAGAAGAATGAAGGGCATTTCATAAGTTCCTAGAAGGAAAACACATTTGAGACATTTTTATTTCCATCATAGCCATTGTTGGCATCTGCAATGGATTTTAATTGTCCAGGCAGATGAGTACTTGGAATGAAAGTGAGATCACAAAGCCTCCACCAACTCCAGGAGTAAAATTTTCCCAAGAAGTAAATGAGTTTCAGATAGATGGCTTCTAGAGGCTTAAAGAGCACCAGCACAATCACAGACATTTTAAAAGATGGTCTCAAATGTGAGACCTGCTGTATTACAGAAGAGCTAACCAGGCCTAGTCTTCACAGAGACTTTTAACAGTGATAGTCAAGTGAAACTATGTTCACAGTGAATGAAAAATTCAGCAGTTCCCACTGGACCTGGTGCTGGACATAACCGAAATGAAGAAAGACGCCCAAGGAAATGGATTTCCATTGAATTTACAACTATCTTTGCATTGCAATGTAATATTAACTAAAATAACTGTTGGGGTGTCTAATTCTAAAACCAAAATGGTTCCAATGAAATACTTTCAGAATATATTTGGAGGCCAGGTTTATTTAAAGAGCCCTGTGTTGGAAGCTACTAGTTACCTGGCTGAGACATTGACCAAACCATCTTCGGGTATTGCCAGTTTTCGCAACGCATGTTTTGTTTTCTGTTGTTTTTATTATTTTGGTTTTGCCAGAGAGCATGAATACTTGCCAGAGAGAGAAGCGGGGAGAGGGGAGGTGAGAAACCACTCCCCAGGGGGGTGGCCATACCACAATCCCTTCTCGATTTTCCTCTCAGAATTTTGGACACACATGCACACATGGCCAGCATGATTTTCAAGACACTGAGACCAGGACTCGAAACATGGTCAGCCATGTGGGAGTCCAACACCTTAAACACCATGCCACCTGCAGGCCCCCATACTGTATGATTCTTAAAACAGCACCCTTCCATTGTACGATTTTAAACATTGAAACTTTCGGACAAAATTTCCCATGGACAAATACTAACCACCAATCCGTAATAAAAATCTCTTCTTTTGCCTCTTCCATTGCATTTGCCACATCTTCGAAATATCCTTTGGCATTAACATACCTGAAAGACAAGTCCTTCCACCTCAGATTTATTTTGTTTTACAAAAATAAACAAATAAATGAGCACAACATTCCTATGGCAAACGAAAACATGGAGGCCATGGCAGCTGGTTTCCACATCACCACTGGTTTACTCCGTGTAACCAGAAAACAAGGACTGAACACGCCACCTTCCATGTGCTTCCCGGAAGGGCAACCAGGAGACAGAAGCAGCCTGATGCTTCCGCCTTAGGGAATAATAACAAGTTAATTGAGCCTCATCAACATGTGGGGTCAGAAGATTCCGCCTGTTCTATTAATTCACATACGATTTTTCTTCTGAGATTCAAAACAGACCAGTTTCCAATTCATGGGTAGAAAAACATGCAAACCATGATTTTATTTAAAGGAAATATTTAGCAAGTAGATTCTTTTCCCTAAATTATGGCTCATGACTTAAATAAACTGTCTGCTTGCATTATTAAGAAAATGTGTGATGTTAGTTATAAAATTGAACTTGAAAATCTAAAGCTAGCTAAGCTCACTGTGAAAAATCTTAAAACCAATCATTGGAAAACTAATCTATAATTCAGTAGAGCCACACTATCTCAGAAAGTATACTGCATTACCTTTCACAGTTTTGAACATTGATTCAGGTGACTTTGGGGTATTGTTATAGATGGTGTGGTTACCTTGACAGTCCAAGAGAAAAATGTCTTACCATTTAGCTAACGTGTTCTCTTGGATAGCAGCATAAGACCCAAATCGATGATCTTTGAGGAAGTTGGTGCCGTATTTCTGGATGAACTCTTCTATAGCTCCTCCCCACCACCGAGCATGCCTGTAGCTGTTGCATTTTAAAATCAGTGTCCTTTAAAGAAAAGCAAAATGTGAAGGGTCACTCTGTGTGCTATTCTCTAAAACAAGTTGAAGGATGACGCGTGCCCTGTTTCAGTTGGTACTGGAGCAAATATAAATTTAAAAGTTGAGGCAAAGAAAACGAAAAATGAAGACTTCTCAAAGTTGTTAGTAGAGCATCTAAAAATAATTGCTATATGAAAAATATCAGTTACTTACTCATTAATGCAAGCATACACAAAAGCACTTAAGGACACAGGAAGAGAATTAACGAGGTATAGGCGAGGTCCTATTTCTAAGTGTTAGCTTCTGGCTCCTCTAGAAGACAGTTTCTTTCATACTGCCTAGTATCCCCTTTCCTGGCTTTTGGAAACATCCTGATTGTGCTTCTGAAGGTCATTCATTCCCTTTTCTGAACCCACAAGAGCAGCATGCTGCAAACAGGTAGAGGGGGGAGGACCTTAGGCTGGACCTGGAGGAGTCTGGGCGCATCTGATTAAGCAGTGGGGAGCATTTCTGCCATGGAGGATGCAGCTGAAACCCGGCCTCTGTGGGTTCCTCTGGCAACAGTGCACTAGTAAGTGAGGCCGGGAATGGAGAAGAGGTGGTCGGTGAGGCACCTGCTATGGAGACAAAGAAAACTGTGGCCTGACTTCACAGCTCTTTGGAAAGGAAGAATGCAGGAGCAGGAGGAGGCTTTACAGCAGGGCCACTGCGTTTCTAATAGCATCCTGAATATCCTACCTTCAGAGACTGTCAGGAAGTTCAGCATCTTTACACACACACACACATGTAAAAATATATGCATGATGTACTGTGTAGAGACAAATGATACCAGTATATACATAAAGACATACTTTCATGGTATATCTACAGTCTTCCATAAAGTAACATGTACATCAACACACACACACTTACTCCTAGCACACTCAAGATTTCTTTCTTGGGGTCTGCAGTGGTGTGGAGGTTAAGGTGCTGGATCCCAATGGCTGACTGATCCCACAGGGTTCAAGACCCAAACCCAGTGGCTTGAAAATCATGCCAGGTACATGTGCATGTGTCCCCAGAATCCCAAGAGGAGAATGGAGAAAAAGGGATTGTGGTGTGGCCATCCCCCCGAGGATGAGAGGGACCACTTTTCCTCTCTATCTCTGCCTTTTTCTGGCAAGTTCATATATCCTATAGCTAAAAAAGAAAGAAAAAAAAATGCATCTTTCTTAAAACCCATGTAAACCATTTTTGAAAATGAAATCACTTTTAAGAGTTTCATTCATTGAGGAATATCAATTTATAATGTGAAATATCATTTTCAAAAAATGTGAACTGTCATTTCTTAATTTACCTTTTCTGGCAAACCAGTATGGCCGAGTAGTAAATTTTCCTAAAATGGGGCTACGGCTATACATGGGATCATTTATTCGGACTCTTGCACATAGGATGTGCGATTCTTTGTTTGTGTACATATAATAATTGTCCATGTTTATGAGGTATGATGTGATTTTGGGTGCAAGAATACAATGTGTGAAGATTAGACCAGGGTGACTAACATCCATTGGATCGACCATTCGCCCTTGCTTTGTTTGGGAGCACTCTAAATCCTCTTTTTAGCTATTCTGAGATTTACAGTATCTTGTTGTTAACTGTATTCACCCTGCTGTACTTTAGGACCCTACAAATTGCTAGTCTTTATCTAATTTTGTTCTCCCACCCTTCCTAGTCTCTGGCAGAGACCCCTTTCCTCTCTACTCTGTGAGGTCAGCGTTCCTGTTTCTACCCAGGAGCGAGAACACCGGGATTTCTCTTCCTCCGCCTAGCTTATTTCACTTCACATGATGTGCTGCAGACGCTCCTGCATTATCTCAAATGACAGGACTTCATTCTTTTTAATGGCAGAATAATATTCCTCTGAGGATCTCCCTTTCTTAAAATATATATATTCAAAGAAAATGTAGTTTCATTCCTTTTGACTAAGGATGAGCTCTAAATAGAAATTTACAAAAAATTTAATTTCTTTACTTCCTTCTTCACTTAAAATTGAGAGAAAAATTATGTTTTTAAAAGAAGTAGCTTTTAAGTATTTAAAGCGCTTACCTGGAAAGGTTATCAATCCGGAGTCCGTACTTGGTCTCTGTCTCCTTCTTCCCCACCTTGATTCTGAATTCCTTATCCACCAGCAGGACGAAGGCGATGGCCCCACTGTCCGGCTTCATGTACAGCAGGAAGGAATCTTTCACTATCAGCCACCTGTAAGGAGGTAGTAAGCACTTGGAAAGTTGTGTTGAGTAACTAAAACAAAAAGAATGAAATTACTATGGCAAGTGTTAAGGAAATACTCTGGCAAAAAGTAGACATAATTTCATTGTATGCTATTAGGTCGTTGGGGAAATCATGACATATTTTTCTATGTAAAAATGTGTCATGACTTTGCCAACAATCCAATGTATTTTTTTTAAATCGCTATGAAAGAAAAACACTCTCAACCTTTCTATGTTTTTCTAAGACGTCCTGCACCAAGTGGTCCGCATCAGCCATGATCTCTTTACACGCTAAGGGGCAAACCCGGAAGACTGCCTGAGGTTGGCAGGCAGCGCGTGCACTGTGCACAGAGCAGCCCCGCGGTGGGGGGTGGGGGGCATGAAGTCAGTGTGTGCCGCCAGGAATGGTCGTGGGAGAGGCCACAGGCTGTCAGTAAGTAAACGCCCTCTGACAAAAAGGACAGCGCGTATCCCATACTCCACAAATCCGGTAGTTCATCTCCGATTATCTGTGGTTTTAAGGACATTTAACCAATGATTCTCAATGGGACATGAGCATCTCTCAAAAGTCCTTCCATTCAATTCAACATACACGTAAGGGCTTCCTAACGGAGGACAGGGACCAGCCACGAGTGGGGGAAGAGGTGGAGAGAGCGCAGAGACAAAGCGGACATGGCAGTCTGTCCTCCGAGGAGCTGGCCATGCCAGAGGGCACACAGACAACAACCCTGCAGGTTCACCTGGGACCGGCACCAGAAGAGAAGAGCACCCTGAGTTTGGACTCGGAAGGTGCCCGTAGTGTTCCCTCGAGGCAGGTCTGAGCAGGGCCAGGAAGGGTCACGACAGTCACAGCCCAGAGTTGGGGGGTGAAGGTGTCCCTTCCACCGGGGGAAGAGTTAGCAAAGACGAGGGGGAGCTGCATGTGCTGAGGAGCGGTGCAGTGTGCCCGGGTTCCAGGAGCACAGTAAGAGGAAAAAGACAAAGGCCACTTCCAGGAGGGTCTGAAAGCCATGCTACGGAGTCGATTCTGAACAATGGAACCAGTGTCTTCTAAGTTTGCTTGATGATCCGAATCTCTAGTGATGTTTGCTAAGAGTAACAGATTACTGGGTCCCATCCCAGATCCTTTAAAAAGGCCGGACAGGGCCAGCCTGTGAGCTGGTGGTTAAGGCAGCCGAGTGCCACACGGTCGTCCGCCCAGCTCAAGTCTGGGACCAGCACCAGGCACATGAGCGTGTGTGCCCCAAATCCTGGAAGAACAGGAAACAGGAGAAGGGATCGCAGCATTTTCTCTTCCTCTCTCTCTCTCTCTCTCTATCTGGTGAGCACACGTGCCCTTGAGCAAATTAAAGCAAAAGTAAAAAGGCTGAATTAATTGGTGTTCTCTTGTTGTTTGCTTTGTTTTTCACAAGAACACCAAGGAGCTTACTAAGTGAAGGGCAAAGCGAAAGGACAATAATGTAAATTGAAACTGCATTTCAGAAAGAGGTGAAGGGGAAGAGGGGGTGCAGTGCAGGCTGGCGAGCCACCGCAATAGACAGACAGCCCCCTCACCCTTCCCTGTGCAGAGGCAGCGCCTGGAGAGCCGGCAGGGGTGCAGACACCAAGTCAGGGCCAACCTGAGACTCTGCGTCGCTAACAGGCTCCTAGGTGCCACGAAAATGCTGCTGCTTATTAAAAACAACAACATCCATGACAGGGCCACATTTTAAGGAGTAAAGATGTAAATGGCGTGGCACTCACTGACAGTGGGAAGAGCAAGAGAGGAGAGATGGGATCCATTTAAAGTGAGTCCAGGGACCCGCAGGTGGCGCAATGGCTACATTGCTGGACGCCCACAGAGTCAACTGTGATCAAAGTCCCAGACCGGAGGCTTAAAATTCATGCTGGGCATGTGTGCTTGCCCAAAATCCTGAGAGGAGAATAAAAAGGGAAGGATTGCGGTGTGGCCATCCCTCCTGGGGGGGGGGTGATTTCTCGCTTTCTGTCTCTCTCTTTCTCTTTCTCTCTGTCTCTCTAGACAGTGCACATGCCCTTTAGCAAAAAGCTCTCTAAAACCAGAAAATAAAATGACAGCAGATGGCCACTTTATCGTGCTGCACATGACACCATGCATTCATATTTACGCAGTTGTGCGGGGTAAAGCAAACCCCCACTTAAATAATGGTTGTTCAGTGGGTCCCAGAGGAGACAGAGCTGTTTGGACACTGTCACCCTCTCAACATTTTCATTCTCGGTGTAGCTCATACTTTAGTAAACATTTATTTTCTTAACCACTTTCTGTTTTAAGAGATAATCTGAGTGGAGAAATGTAACAGCTAGCCCACTAGCAGGCAGAGAAGCTGCTCATTGGGGTGCTCTGCGAGCAGATGTTTTACATTAAGGGAAGACATATTTCCTGTGTTTACCTTGGTTTCTCTTTGTTTGTTTGACCTGTCTCTGAACAGGTCATTCTGAGCACTGACTTCAAGTTCAACTGCCCTGTTTACCTAAGCTCAACTTGTCAATATAGAAAAAAGAGAGTGATCAGAAGGGCTCTTCAGGGTGCAAAAGCAAAAAGAGACATTGTGAGTGGCTGGAATAACGACTCCACGTAGACAGCAATACAACAGTCTGTGAAAAACCAATGTCATCAGCTATACTTCATCGTCATACATGGTTTCTGATATTTTAAATCTCACAAATGTGACGCAGGAAATTCTTTCTAGTATTTGGAACCAAGGGTATAAAACCGTCACAGAAAGATTTACACTTTAGAATGATGATACACTTCATTCCAGGAAGAATTCTATCTTTTGGGAGTGTCCTGGTTGAAGCATGATTTAGTCCTAAATTTAAAAAGGAGAGGGCATGATTCTTTCACACAGCAGCGTCTCCCCCTCCTGCTGCAGCTTCTCAGAGAGCTGACCGCTCGGTTGCTTGTCGGGACGCCTCTCCTGGGTTCCTGGACGTAAAGGCACCAATCTGGGTCCCAACCCCTCACTGTCCCATCGCCCTTTTCTTCCGAAGCCCTCATCACCACCTGAATTTCGATCACGCAGGCTGCTTGTTGACATAGCTGTTGCCTGCACGTCGCACTCACTGAGCTCCAGGAAGCCGGAGGGGGGGAGGCTTGCTTTGCTCACTGCTGTCCTCACAGCGGCTAGGGCACAGCCTGGCACACTTCGGGCACAGCCTGGCACACTTCAGGAACAGCCTGGCACACTTCGGGCATCGGAAATGACTGAACGAGCCAGACCACAGCTTCCATTCCTCGGGGTCATGCCTCGGGTCGAGGTGCCTCAGGAGGAAACTCTGAGATGAAGACGTGCGGTAGGAAGGAGCTTTCTGGAGAGTGCCAGGAAGCACGGGGGGGGGGGGGGGGGGTGGACAGGAGACAGAGCAGGGAGGCAGCCATGGAGCATGTGTTTTGCGCACTTTAGGACGGGCAGGCGGGCTGCGAGCCTGCTGGGAACTCCGGGAGGCAGTTCACAACTTCACCAACGCTTGCTTTTGCTTCCCTTTTGGTGACAGCCGTTCTAGTGAGCTTGCAGTGGTCACTCACTGTGTACCTGACTTAGATGACCCTGATGATTAGTGCTGAGCATCTCGTCACGCGGTGCTGGCTGCTTACGCATCTTCTTGTGCTGCCCAATCTGTGTGTCTATGGTCCACTAGCTTTTTATCTATGTATGTCATTTTTATAATTTGCCTAAAAATCCAATTTGGGGTGGAATATTTAAATGCTAGAATTTAGAATTTAAAATACAATTAAGCATGTGCTCTTCTATAGCTTTCAAATGATGTATTATTGATTTCCAACTTAAAACTAGTAGGGAAAATCTCCCCCCACCCCAAATACCTGATTTACCCACTAGCTTTTTATTTATGTATGTCATTTTTATAATTTGCCTAAAAATCCAATTTGGGGTGGAATATTTAAATGCTAGAATTTAGAATTTAAAATACAATTAAGCATGTGCTCTTCTATAGCTTTCAAATGATGTATTATTGATTTCCAACTTAAAACTAGTAGGGAAAATCTCCCCCCACCCCAAATACCTGATTTATTAAAGCAAACACACGAAGCCCTGAAATCCTACCTTTTGGACCATCGGTAGCAGGCTCTTCCCTGGCCACAGCAGTTCAGCCCTGGGATCCTGTGCCCCCCAGATCGCTTCATGATCATACCTTCTCTGAAAGAGACATCAGGTTAGCCCGTCAGCTGCGAGGCCCCAGCTCCCGTGTAGCCCCCATGGCCTCACTGCTCGGAACGAAATGAAGTCTCCTTCTTACATGGCTCTCCTCTCGTCTTCCACGAGCTCAGTGCTGCGCTTAGGCCCAGCGCTTCACAGCTGGTCTGAAAGCACCCTGGCCAAATGTGGCCCTTGGGGCTTTGGGGGCGGCATAACTGTGTCACACACAGTGCAGGCCCTTCGGCATCCAAGCTCCAAAGGCTGGGCACTCCTCTGGTCTATGACAACCTAAAAAGTCCCCATGCATTTCCAGTGCTGCACAGGGTAGGTGAGCTGCTGCTGAGACACGGAAGGGCTCACTCGGAGATTGTGGTGCATTCCGGCATCCATTTCATTCAGTTTAGCAATTGCCATGCCAAAAGAAGCAGAACAGAGCTATGAGCTTTGAAAGCAGTGATACCTTGACTCTGAATGATGGGATGAGAAAGAGCAGTGACTGTGGCAAAACAGGATAAAAACTTGCTCGAGGCAACTACAAACAATTCTCTAAAAAGCTCAATTTTCAGGGCCAGCAGGTGGCATGGTATTAAAGGGCTGGACTCCCGCATGGCTGCCTGCAATCTGAGCCCCAGACCCAGAAGCTCGAATATCACTCAGGACGCATGTGTGTGTGTGCCCCAAATCCTGAGAGGAGAACGGAGGAGAAGGGATTGTGGCATGGCCGTACCCCTGGGGAATGATTTCTCACTTTCTCTCTTTCTGTCTCTCTCCAACGAGTGCATACACCCTATAGTAAAACCAAAAACCTAAACAAAACAAACAATTTGGGGCCAGGCACCGCGGCCCAGCGGCAGTGCACGCTCAGCGACATTGAGAAGGTCCGAGGCCCGTGTCAAGGTCTCCCTGTGCACACTGGGTGTGTATGTGTCTGTGATCCGGTCTGGCTGAGGCTGGGGGTGCATGACAGTGTAAAGGCCCTGTTGGGGATGCTTCCCCCCCCCACTTTCTCTCAGAACTAAGTAAACTTTTTATAAAACTGAAATTAAAGAGTTGAGCTTTTTATATAATCAAGAGCTCTAATAACCAAGAAGGACAATAATCTTTAAGTAAACTCTAATCTGGCTCCGCAGCATAAATCTTACACAAAGCTATTTGAAATGGTCACCGAGCTGAGGAGAAGTGCACAGCTGATGAGGAGCAGAAGGCATCTTCTCCATCGAAGCTCAGTGCATCCTCCTCAGTCACGCTCGCTGTGTGCCCTGGGTATGCCCACTCCCGGCGTAGAGGGATTGTGGGCTGGAGGCACACAGAGACAGGGTGGGACAGCTGCTGCCCTTGCTTCCTGTAGGAGATGCTCTGTTTTGTAAAAATACATCCCTCCATTGTGCTAAGCCCCCCGGGAGAAGAGAAACTAGCAGTAAGGAATGGGGTCTTCCATCAACACAGCACGCCACTAACTCAAACGCTAACGTCAGTCAACGTATACACAGTTCTGCTTAAAGGCCCATTGGAACTTACATGCCCTTTGGTCCCAAGTCACGGATGAAAGATAACTGGCTTATATCAAGGAATTCTGTCTGAAAAGAAGCCAAAAATCCACACTTTAGAACCAGAAAGTAAATAAATAAATAAATGTCTGCATTAAAAACGCATGTGTGAGGTACTGCTGTGTGTGGGCACTGTTCGGTGGACTTCCAGGCTGCACAGACCGAAAGCCATGGTGCTACCCCGAAGGAGCAGTGATTTGAAATCTAGAAATAAGTAAGACACGCCCAAGAGAGTGATGTGAGCCCTAAGGTAGGGAGACAAATTCTCACCAATGTCATAGCTTCTTCTCTATGTTCTTTTGTGAGCTGTGTGTGTATGTGTGAGGGGAGGAGGGCTTGTGACATCATGTACACGCAGACAATGAAAGAACGGAAGAAGAAAGCGACATTGATGCAGGTTTTAGAATGTGGACTAGATTTCAGCATGTGGAGATGGGACGAAGAAGGGTGCAGAACACAGCAGATGTAAGAAGGTGTCATGGTCACAGTGCTGGACTCCCACATCGTCGATCTGGTTCGAGTCCTGGACCCAGTGGCTTAAAACTCACACCAGGCGTGTGTGTGTGCATGTCCAAAATCCTGAGGAAAAGGGATTGTGGCATGGCCATCTCCCCTTCTCCTCCCCCCCCGGGGGGGGCGTAATTTCTCAATTTCTGTCTCTCTGGCAAGGGCACTCACCCTATAGCAAAAAAAGAATTTTCTCTTTATAAAGAAAATAAAGTATGGTGTGCTACAGTGGATAAGATGAAGGGGGAAATTTTCTAGTAATGAAAAATTCCTGGCAATGTAGGTTGAGAAGACACTGGAGGTGTTTGAACATTGGGCATAGCCAATAGAATTCACAACAGACCTTTCTTAGTGACTTGAAAAGGTAAACACTTTAAGGCTGCATTTCTTCCCATTTTGTAGAAGAGAAAACCATCGTTAAGTCAGGGATAGCAATTTTATTTATTTATTTATTTATTTATTTATTTATTTATTTATTTATTTTTGTCTGCAGAGTCAGACAGTAAATATTTTGGACTTTGTGGGCCATTCAGTCTCTGTTGCAACTATTCAATTCTGTCATTGCAGCCATAGTCGATATTTAGATGCCTAAGAAGGGCTGTGTTCGAATAAAACTTTATTTGTAGATGCGAAGATATAAATATAATTTTCATGTGCCAGAAACATTCTTTTTTTTCCAACCTTTTAAAAACAATGACAACAACAACAGAAAACCTGTTCTCTTAGCGCACATGCAGCGGACTGAATCTGGCCTGTGGCCCTCGTCTGACAAGCCCTGGTTTAGAGAAGTTAAGTCGTACGAAATCACATCCTTAGCAAGAGATAGATCCAGTTTGAAGCCAGGCCAAAGTCCATATCCTCAAAACCAAAACCACCAAAGCAAAGTCATTCAACGAATTTATCTTGCTCAGACTGAGCTCCTTGGACAGTCTAGCTAAATGAGGGCTAGAAAACAAAATTGTAAGGTGTGAAGACTTTCATCTAAATAAAAAGCATACATTAGTAATGCAGAAAATTACAAGTTGCACATTAATATAAAATTTATCCAATGACATACTCATGCTTAATTAAACAGAGATTTCAAGGAGGGACTAGCTTTATTATAGAGAAAGCATATCTAGCAATAAACATTTTAATACAAATTTATCGACTTGAAAGTGAATTGATCAAGGTCAACTAACAGGCAAACGTAATTAATAAAACTTGAAGTTTAACGAAGACTGTGTTTTCCAAATTTCTCAGTACATCTTCAAGGATAATAATCTCATTCTCCATTTGGACAGGTGATTATTAGGAAAAAGAATTTAAAGAGCAATTGGGACCAGCAGATGGCATAATGGTTACATCACTGGACTCTCACGTAGTCAATCATGGTTTGAGTTCCAGACCCCGTGGCTTAAAGCTCACGCTGGGGTTACATGTGCATAGGCCTAAGGTCCCAAGAGGAAAATGGAGAAGGGATTGTGGCATGGCCACCACTCCCCCCAGTGGATGATTTCTTACTCTCTGTCTCTCTCTATCTTTCTGGCAAGTGCATGCTGCCTGTAGCGAACATCTCTCAATAAAAATACTTTTTAAAAAAGAGCAACTTAGCCTAACAATATCCATAGGGTTTATTCCATTGATCTCTTGACTAATATACTTATGGGTACCGTTTTTGGTTTTGTTTTTGTTCTTTGGCAAAGGAATGTGTGAAGAATGCAGTAAAATAGTGTTCTTGACACTAAATAGAAAGTGCTGTCTGGTAAAAAAATTCCAATGTACCTTACCAATCAGATGCTGAAAAAGTTAGAGAAACTGAGAAGCACAAAAGCTCCCTGGCCAAGAGACAAGCAACAAACCCTTGGGCTAACAACGAACCCTGGGAACCACTTGGTCCCCGCGGACACACCTCCTTTTCCACCATCTATGTGTTCAAAGAGGAGGCTGACATTCAGAGGTCCCTTTTATTCTACATTCGAGGGAGTAACAGGAAATTGCATGAAAGAAGTGTAAGAATTCGGCAGTTCCTGGTAGAGAGGGTAGGGCGTGGGCTCCTCGGGACTCTGGAAAAGCTGCCTTCCAGGTGAGACAGCTCCAGCTACAGGGGACAAAGGAGATGTCTTATCTGTGGAGGGAACCAGCGGGAGGCCAGCCTGAACCTAAGGTCCCTCCAGACTCTACTCTTT